TCCTATCCCCTACTATCCCCCCTCCCCTTTCCTCCCCTCTTCCCTCTCTACCCCATCAGCTGTTGTTCAATTCTCTCCCTTGTTTTTTTTTTTTTTTCCTTTCCCCTCACCATCTCTTATATGTAATTATGTGTAACAATGAGGGTCTCCTTCCATTTCCATACAGTTTCCCTTCTCTCTCCCTTTCCCTCCCACCACTCGTCTCTGTTTAATGTTAGTCTTTTCCTCATGCTCTTCCTCCCTGCTCTGTTCTTAGTTGCTCTCCTTATATCAAAGAAGAGATTTGGCATTTATTTTTTAAGGATTGTCTAGCTTCACTTAGCATAATCTGCTCTAATGCCATCCATTTCCCTGCAAATTCCATGATTTTGTCATTTTTTAGTGCTGCATAATACTCCATTGTGTATAAATGCCACATTTTTTTTTATCCATTCATCTATTGAAGGGCATCTAGGTTGATTCCAGAGTCTAGCTATTGTGAATTGTGCTTCTGTGATCATTGATGTGGCAGTATCCCTATAATGTGCTCTTTTAAGGTCCTCAGGGAATAGTCCGAGAAGGGCGATAGCTGGGTCAAATGGTGGTTCCATTCCCAGCTTTCCCATGAATCTCCATACTGCTTTCCATATTGGCCGCACCAATTTGCAGTCCCACCAGCAATGTACAAGAGTACCCTTTTCCCCACAACCTCTCCAGCACTTGTTGTTGTTTGACTTCATAATGGCTGCCAACTTACTGGAGTGAGATGGTATCTTAGGGTGGTTTTGATTTGCATTTCTCTGACTGCTAGAGATGGTGAGCATTTATTCATGTACTTATTGATTGATTGTATTTCCTCCTCTGAGAAGTGTCTGTTCAGGTCCTTGGCCCATTGGTTGATTGGGTTATTTGTTATCTTATTGTTTAATTTTTTGAGTTCTTTGTATATTCTGGATATTAGGGCTCTATCTGAAGTGTGAGGAGTCAAAATTTGTTCCCAGGATGTAGGTTCTCTATTTACCTCTCTTATTGTTTCTCTTGCTGAGAAAAAACTTTTTAGTTTGAGTAAGTCCCATTTGTTGATTCTAGTTATTAACTCTTGTGCTATGGGTGTCCTATTAAGGAATTTGGAGCCCGATCCCACAATATGTAGATTGGGGACAACTTTTTCTTCTATCAGGCGCAGAGTCTCTGATTTGATATCAAGCTCTTTGATCCATTATGAGTTAACTTTTGTGCATGGTGAGAGAAAGGGGTTCAGCTTCATTTTGTTGCATATGGATTTCCAGTTTTCCCAGCACCATTTGTTGAAGATGCTATCCTTCCTCCATTGCATGCTTTTAGCCCCTTTATCAAATATAAGAAAGTTGTAATTTTGTGGATTGTTTTCTGTGTCCTCTATTCTGTACCATTGATCCACCTGCCTCTTTTGGTACCAGTACCACGCTGTTTTTGTTACTATTGCTTTGTAGTATAGTTTGAACTCTGGTATCGCTATACCTCCAGATTCACACTTCCTGCTTAGAATTGCTTTTGCTATTCTGGGTCTTTTGTTTTTCCATATGAATTTCATGATAGCTTTATCTATTTCTACAAGAAATGCCATTGGGATTTTGATTGGCATTGCATTGAACTTGTAGAGAACTTTGGGTAATATCGCCATTTTGATGATGTTGGTTCTGCCTATCCATGAACAGGGTACATTTTTTCCATCTTCTAAGATCTTCTTCTATCTCTCTCTTTAGGGTTCTGTAGTTTTCATTGTATAAATCTTTCACCTCTTTTGTTAGGTTGATTCCCAAGTATTTTATTTTTTTTGAGGATATTGTGAATGGGGTGGTTGTTCTTATTTCCACTTCAGAAGATTTGTCGCTGATATACAGGAATGCCTTTGATTTATGCGTGTTGATTTTATATCCTGCCACTTTGCTAAATTCACTTATTAGCTCTAGTAGTTTCTTTGTAGACCCTTTGGGGTCTGCTAGGTATAGAATCATATCATCCGCATATAGTGATAATTTAAGTTCTTCTTTTCCTATTTTTATGCCTTTAATTTCTTTTGTCTGTCTAATTGCTCTGGCTAGTATTTCAAGGACTAAATTGAATAGAAGTGGTGAGAGAGGGCATCCCTGCTTGTTCCAGATTTTAAAGGGAATGCCTTCAGTTTTTCTCCATTTAGAATGATGCTAGCCTGAGGCTTAGCATATATATCTTTTACAATGTTGAGGTATGTTCCTGTTATCCCTAGTTTTTTCTAGTGTTTTGAACATAAAGGGATGCTGTACTTTGTCGAATGCTTTTTCCGCATCTATCGAGATGATCATATGGTTCTTATCTTTAAGTCTATTGATGTGGTGAATAACATTTATTGATTTCCTTATATTGAACCAGCCTTGCATCCCAGGGATGAATCCTACTTGATCATGGTGCACAATTTTTTTGATATGCTTTTGTATTCGATTCGCCAGGATTTTATTGAGAGTTTTTGCATTGAAGTTCATTAAAGATATTGGTCTGTAGTTTTCTTTTTTTGCAGTATCTTTGTCTGGTTTCGGGATCAGGGTGATGTTGGCCTCATAGAATGAGTTTGGAAGGGCTCCTTCTTTTTCTATTTCTTGAAATAGCTTGAAAAGTATTGGTATTAATTCTTCTTTGAAGGTTTTGTAAAACTCCGCTGTATATCCATCCGGTCCAGGGCTTTTCTTGGTTGGTAGTCTTTTGATGGCTTCTTCAATTTCTTCCTTTGTTATTGGTCTGTTTAAATTGCGTGTGTCTTCCCGACTCAATCTGGGCAGATCGTATGACTTAAGAAATTATCAATATCTTCACTGTCTTCTATTTTATTAGAATATAGGGTTTCAAAATACTTTCTGATTATCTTCTGTATTTCTGTAGTGTCTGTTGTGATATTGCCTTTTTCATCCCGTATGTTAGTAATTTGAGTTCTCTCTCTTCTTCTCTTCGTTAGCATGGCTAAGGGTTTCTCGATCTTATTTATTTTTTCAAAGAACCAACTTTTAGTTTTATCAATTTTTTCAATGGTTTTTTTTGTTTCAATTTCGTTGATTTCCGCTCTGATTTTAATTATTTCTTGTCTTCTGTTATATTTGCTGTTGTTTTGCTCTTCCTTTTGTAGGGTTTTGAGATGTAGTGTGAGTTCATTTATTTGTTGGTTTTTTCTTTTTTTGAGGAATGAATTCCAGGAAATGAATTTCCCTCTTAAAACTGCTTTCATTGTGTCCCATAGTTTCCAGTATGTTGTGTCTGTATTGTCGTTTATCTCTAAGCATTTTTTGATTTCCTCCTTTATGTCTTTTGTAACCCATTGATCGTTCAGTAACATATTGTTTATTTTCCATGTGATGCATGATTTTTCCTTCCTTCTTTTATCATTGATTTCCAGTTTCACTTCCATTATGATCAGATATGGTGCATGGTATTATCTCCACACCTTTATATTTACTAAGAGTTGCCCTATGGCATAATATATGATCTATCTTTGAGTAAGATCCATGTGCTGCTGAGAGGAATGTGTATCCACTTGATGATGGTTGATATATTCTATATATGTCGGTTAAGTCTAGGTTATTGATTGCATTATTGAGTTCTCTAGTTTCTTTATTCAGCTTTTGTCTGGAGGATCTGTCTAGTGGCGAGAGCGGTGTGTTGAAGTCACCCATAATTATTGTGTTGTGGTCTATTTGACTCTTGAACTTGAGGAGAGTTTGTTTTATGAACGTTGCTGCACCATTGTTTGGTGCATACATATTGATAATTGTTATGTCTTGTTGGTGGATGGTTCCTTTTAACAGTATATAGTGTCATTCTTTATCCCTTTTGATTAATTTAGGTTTGAAGTTGATTTTATTCGATATGAGTATGGCCACTCCTGCTTGCTTCCGAGGGCCATGTGAGTGGTATGATTTTTCCCAACCTTTCACCTTCAGCCTGTGTATGTCTTTTCCTATCATATGAGTCTCCTGAAGGCAGCATATTGTTGGATTCGTTTTTTTGATCCAGATTACTAGCTTATGTCTCTTGATTGGTGAGTTTAGGCCATTAACATTTAATATCCTATCTTATTCATTATTACTTTTGTACTATATTGATTTGGACATAAGCACAAAAAAATACATGCTTAATACAGATGTAATTTTTTCCTATTGTATTTTCTATCCATGGTTGCTTGAATTCACAGATATAGAGGGCCAACTTATGTAGATCTGTATCTGTGCTCTCTTCTCTGTTTCATTGATATATTTGGACATGACTTTTGGTGAAACCGTGTTCAACCTGTTAAAATAAAAGTATTGTGTCCAACAACAACTAAAAGAATATTAAAAATAAATAAAAAATATTCTGGCTGTGTCAGATCAGCTTATAATAATATTGAGGTTCCACTGTGAATTTAGGTCAATCTTTCATTTTTTTTTTTTAATAATTTTTTACCCCTTTACTTTATTTTTATGTGGTGCTGAGGATCAATGTCAGCACCTTGCACATGCTAGGCAAGTGCTCTACCACTGAACTACAATCCCAGCCCAGATCAATGTTTTATTCTTTTTCTTTCTGTGCTGGGAATTGAACACCTAGGGGCACTTTACCAGGAGCTACATCCCCAATCCTTTAAAATTTTGTTTTTCTTTGCTTTGTAATAGTATCTTGCTAAGTTGCTGAGGTTGGCCTTGACTTCATGATCCTCTAGCCTCCCAATCCCACCCTAGGATTATAGGCTTGTGTCACCATGTCTGATTCAGATCAGTTTTTCACATTAGAGGCTGCCTTTCCCCCCACATCTCAGCTTTTTCTTTTACCTTCTCTATTTTTCTTTTCTTTTCTTCTTTCCTCTCCCTTTCCTTTGCCTTTTTTTTTTCTTCAATGGATTTGATGTTTTATTTCAGTTAAACTCATTCTTCTCTGTCTTTAGAGTATCAGAAGACCAAAGTTTGACCCAATCTTATGGAAAGATATTTGTGATTCTTCATTGCTTTCCCTCATGATATTCCTTTCCTTGTGTGCAGGATACTCAGTACTCACACCCAATCTGATCTCCCAGTGGGAACAAGAGGAGGAACTGCAGACAGTGAAGACAGAACGTATCCAGGGCATCTGTATGGAGCAGCACCAGGAAGGCAAGAATCCCTGGGAGAAACTGGCCTGGGAGGAGAAAAAAATAAAATAGAAATAAAGCAAAAGTTTGTTTTGTCTGAGGAGGCTCATTATCCACAGATGCCTCAGAGTACTATTTTGACTGTTTATCTGTCCTCTCATACTTTCCTTGTTCTTGTCAAAGATCTCCATATTTGCTTTTTTAAAGTTTGTTTTTGGTATGTGTATTTTATCCTTTCTGTGTTCCTCGCCTAGTAATTTTTAAAAAATTATTAATGAAAAATTTTAATATATTGTCCAAACTAATATGAAATATCAAGTTAACAGAAAATTTTATCATAAACTTTTTTTTTTTTTTTAAAAATTATTCATTTATTTGTTCTAATTTGTTATACATGATAGCAGAATGCATTTTGATTCATATGTAGCCCAATTTTTCATGTCTCTGGTCCCAATAATTTCTTCTGGTCATGTTACCATCACTTTCATTCTTCATAGAACTATTTTTTATTTTTCAGCACTGGGGAACCCAGGAGTGCTTTACCACTGAGCTATATTCCATACCCTTTTTAATTTTGAGACTGGGTTTAAGTTGTTGAGGCTGTCCTTGAATTTGTGAACTTCCTATCTCAGCCTCCCAAATAGCTGAGATTACAAGCATATGTTACCATACTATGGTAATGTTATTATACTATGGTTTCATGGAAATATTTTTTAGTGAACTGTTTTACTTTTGATCCTTGTGTCTATTAGTAATGAAGTCCTGAAACAGCTGCACTGCTCAAAGTCCTTTGCTCATAGGTAACTTTATTTTGTTTTATTTTTTTGTTTCAGGGTTTGAGTCTCTACTTAATACTAAGGAATTAGTTGCTCTTCAAGACAACAATGGAGAAAAACCATATGAATGTAAGGAATGTATAAAGGCCTTCAGTTGTTCCTCCATGTTCAGAGCACATATGAAAATTCATAGTGAAAAGGCAAACTATGAATGTAAGGAATGTGGGAAAACCTTCAGTAGTTCTTCCCACCTCACAGAACACAAAAGAATTCACAATGGAGATAAGCCCTATGAATGTAAGGAATGTGGGAAGGCCTTTAGTTGTTCCTCATCACTCTCCAAACACAAAAGAATTCATAGTGGAGATAAGCCATATGAATGTAAGGAATGTGGGAAGGCCTTTAGCTCTTCCTCTCATCTTAAAAGACATATAAGAATTCACACAGGAGAGAAGCCTTATGAATGTAAAGAGTGTGTGAAGGCCTTCAGTGAATCCTCAAAACTCACTGTGCATGTGAGGACACACACCGGAGAGAAACCCTATAAATGTAAGTTATGTGGGAAAGCCTACTGTCTTCCCACTTTCCTGAACACACATGTGAAAAATCAAAGTAGAGAGAAACCCTATGAATGTAAGGAATGTGGGAAGGCCTTCAGTTGTCCCTCTTCCTTTAATGCACACGTGAGAGATCACAATGGTAAGGTGCAATATGAATGTAAGGAGTGTGGGAAGGCCTATCGTCATTCCTCATCCCTCACTGAACACCTAAGAACTCACAGTGGAGAAAAGCCTTATGAGTGTAAGGAATGTGGGAAGGCATTTCGACATTCTTCATCCCTTACTATACATGCAAGACTGCATACTGGAGAAAAACCCTTTGAATGTCTGGAGTGTGGAAGAGTTTTCCGTACTCCCTCATCCTTTGGGATACATGTGAGAAGCCATACTGGAGAGAAACCATATGAATGTAAGGAATGTGGGAAAGCCTTCAGTAGTTCTTCCCATCTTACAGTACATAGAAGAACTCACACTGGAGAGAAACCTTATGAATGTAAAAAATGTGGGAAAGCCTTTATTCGTTTCTCAGGTCTTAGTAGCCACTTGAGAACTCACACTGAGGAAAAACCCTATGAATGTAAGGAATGTGGGAAGGCATTTCGACATTCTTCATACCTTACTATACATACAAGAATGCACACTGGAGAAAAACCCTTTGAATGTCTGGAGTGTGGAAGAGCTTTCAGTTGTCCCTCATCCTTTCGGAGACATGTGAGAATCCATACTGGAGATAAACCATATGAATGTAAGGAATGTGGGAAAGCCTTCATTAGTTCTTCCTATCTTACAGTACATAGAAGAACTCACACTGGAGAGAAACCTTATGAATGTAAAAAATGTGGGAAAGCCTTTATTCGTTTCTCAGCTCTTAGTATCCACATGAGATCCCACACTGAGGAAAAACCCTATGAATGTAAGGAATGTGGGAAGGCATTTCGACATTCTTCATCCCTTACTATACATTCAAGACTGCATACTGGAGAAAAACCCTTTGAATGTCTGGAGTGTGGAAGAGCTTTCCGTTCTCCCTCATCCTTTGGGATACATGTGAGAAGCCATACTGGAGAGAAACCATATGAATGTAAGGAATGTGGGAAAGCCTTCAGTAGTTCTTCCCATCTTACAGTACATAGAAGAACTCACACTGGAGAGAAACCTTATGAATGTAAAAAATGTGGCAAAGCCTTTATTCGTTTCTCAGCTCTTAGAAGCCACATGAGAATCCACACTGAGGAAAAACCCTATGAATGAAAGGGATGTGGGAAGGCATTTTGACATTCTTCATCCCTGACTATACATGCTAGAATGCACACTGGAGAAAAACCCTTTGAATGTCTGGAGTGTTGAAGAGCTTTCATTTCCCCCTCATCCTTTGGGATACATGTGAGAAGCTATACTGGAGGGAAACCATATTAATGTAAGGAATGTGGCAAAGCCTTTATTTGTACAGCCTACTTTCGAAGACGTGAAAATTCACACAAGGGACAACATATAAATGTAAGGAGTAAGGGAATCTCTGCAAGACTTTTTCTGAACTAATGCAATTTGTGTAGTCTCATTTTGTGAAGTCTCATACTGTAGAGACATTGTAAATGTGAGAAAGTAGAAGATTATCACTCATTCTTTTGAATGGTTGAGGACAACAGCGAGAAACCCTGTGTTTGTTAGCTATATGGTAAAGCCTTTTGATTTTGAACATAATTTGTGCCACAGTCTGGCTGGGCTGTGCAAAGTAGCCGGTGGGCGGGGGGGGGGGCGACAAGCAACTTGTGAAGGTGGAAACAGCGGGAGCCACTGTGTTCAGACCAGCAGAGGTATATATACCCAAGTAAATACAGACAGCTTATCTCAATTAATATCATCCAGTTACAGCAATCAGTCATTAAGGAATCTTCACCATCTTAATAATTAGACACAGCTTAACTCCATTAACATCATCTAGATACAGCAGTCAGTCATTAAGGAATCCGCATCATCTTAGTAGCTCGCTGGCGTTACTTCTCAAACCACTCCTCCTGGCAAAGTGCCAGATGCCATCTTGACTTGGCTGTGGCTCTCAACACTTGTATAAGAAAATTCAAAATTTGAGCTAGAAAAGAACATCAGTGCCTCATTAAAGTGGACTTCTAGAGGTCATTGATTTCCAATGTTTTCTAATAGGAAGATTTAATGTTACATGGTTCCCTTTTCAACTTTTATGACATACTTTTGAGTATGAGGTGAGTTTCTTTTGCTGAGATGTAAATGTTATTTCCATTACTAAGGCTTTTGGACTCTTGGGAGATTGTGTGTGTACGTGTGTGTATACTTCTCCTCTGAGACAGGGTCTGGCTATGTTGTCCAGGCCTGTAACTCCTGGACTTCTGCCTTAGCTTCCTAAGTTTGGGAGTGCAAGCATATATCACTGAGTCTGGCTCAAGTGCATTTTTTTTTTTTTTTGGGCAGGCAGGAAAATGGTGTTTTTTTTTTTTTTTTTTTTTAATTGTTTAAGTTTGAACTCATAGCATGGGCACCTTCTTCGTCTTCGTCTTTGCCTTCGCCTTCTTCTTCTTCGTTGTCTTCATCTTAGTCTTTTCCTTCGCCTTTGTCTGGATACTGAAAGTTGCATACCCAATAATTCCCCCCTTCCTGTTAAACTAAGAGTACCAACTGTTTTTGAGAATATTAGTGTTTACTATCAAAAGCTTTTCATGTGTAATAAAAAAGTTTTAGTAGAAATTAATTAGTACAAAGGCGTTGAAAGATTATAGTCTCATCTATTTGCTGTTTTGTGTTTTATTCTTTATGTTTGTTCATGACTGGAATCTTTTTTAATTTAAATTTTTTAAGTTGTTGATGGATCTTTATTTTATTTATTTATATGTGGTGGTGAGGATCGAACCCAGTGTCTCATACACGCTAGGTAAGTACTTGACTACTGAGCTACAACCCCAGCCCTCATGGATGGAATTTTGATCTAATGTTTTAAGTTAATAAAGTGTGTTATATTAATTTGGATATAGCTGAGGACTACATTTCCCTTAATCACTTCTAATCCTAGGTGATAGTTTTCTAAAATAACTTTGCAAGAAGTTTGAAAGGCTTTAGGGAAGGAGCTACAATTGCCTGCTTATTAGGACCACGATATAGGTAGACAGATGAGTAGGGACCTTGTGGGCCCCAGTTTTCAGCTCATTTTTCTGAGTATTGAACGCCCTGATCCATACTTGCTCAAAACTGAATGTTAAGTGCTTGACCTCAGTCTCCTCAGGGGCTGCACCTCCACAAATGTCTCCATTAACTGCTGTATCCTGGCCAAACACAACTTAGATTTCTTTGGCAAGCTCTGGTGTTGCCATTTTGGCATTTTTGCTTCTCATTGCAGTTCCTCTGGCACTTTCACTGCCCTGTTAGAGTTGACCAGTTTGTGGAAGGATTGTCATCATGCTCACAGTTCAGTCCCATCCTTCACTCTGCTTATGGGATTGATGTCTATACAAGCCTACCGTGGTCCCAAAAGTGAGTAGAGCTGTGGCTAATGACGTTATCCTGACTGTAATTGAGGCAAGCCTCAGATAGGCGTCATCCTATTTTGGTAGAGGAGGATTTATATTTGATACCTTCAGACAGGGAAGATTTTACTGCCTTTATGTGAGAAGAGGAGTGCTATGAGCTGTTTCAGGTATATTTTGCTACCTCCTCCCCTTTTTTAAAGCATTGTATTTTAAGGGGTGGTGTTGTGGCTCAGTGGTAGAGCATTTGCCTATCATGTATGAGGCACTGTGTTCGATTCTCAGCATGGCATATAAATAAATGAACAAAATAAAGGTCTATTAACAACTAAATATATTTTTGAAAATTATATTTTATCTCTTAAAAGCATAACTATATCATTTCCCTTAATCAGTTTTTACTGTTTATCAAGGTATACATACACTAATGTGCAAGCTGTGTACAGCTTGATGTAATTTGACATAGATGTATACATCCTGCTAGACACATTTCCAGGATTCCAGGAAGTTTTCTCAATAGTCACTCCACAGAGGAAATTGGATTTTGACTCTTATTATGCTTGATTTGGTGTGCTTTTTCTCACTTTTCAAATAAGTGCTAAAACTACAATATATACTGTTACCTGTTTGGCTTCTTTTACTCAAGATAATGTCTGGTTTGTCACTTGGTTGCTCTTATTTCTCTTGGTATATGCTGTATATGGGGAATGCAATTGCTGAATGATAAGGTAGACTTCAAGTGTAGTTTTGGTATATACTTTAGATTTTCAAAAATGTGGGTTCCACCAGTAAGTCCCCAACAGTGCATGTGAGTGTTGGCTATTCCGCATACTGGGCCCACACTTTCTAACTTTAGCTCTTCAGCAGAGTGTGTGGTGATATGTTTTTTTTGTTGTTGAAATATGCATTTTCCTGTTATGTCATGATTTTGAGTACTTTTTGGTGTGCTTATTGGTTATTTGGATATCTTTATTAGGCTAACTTTTGAAGCATTTCACCCATTTTCATTTCCTTTTTTCTTTTGAAGTGTTTCCTTGCTGCAAAAATGTCCTTGGCTATAACTAAGCTTTAATCTGGATTTTGAGGCTAAAAGATGTGCTTTTGTCTGTCTCCGTGTCTTGGCTGTGCATCCTTTTGCATTGTCCTTTCTTCCAGCTGGGATATTTTCTTCACAATAGGCTTCAGAAGTTCTGTGCTGCTTTCTTCCCAAGATAATGCTTCAGGGAGAAGAGTGACATCTTTTTTGAACAGTTCCAATATAATTATCAAAATGGAATCTGAGGAGGGGAGGGTGGATAGTAGAGGATAGGAAAGGCAACAGAATACTATAGACACTAGTATGGCAGTATGTAAAAACGTGGATGTGTAACCGATGTGATTCTGCAATCTGTATATGGGGTAAAAATGGGAGTTCATAACCCACTTGAATCAAATGTATGAAATATGATATGTCAAGAGCTATGTAATGTTTTGAACAACTAATAATAAAAAAAATGTAAAAAAAAATGGAATCTGATTAATGGCTTATTTTGTCCACCATGGCCTTGGGAATGTGAATACTCTGATTTGTTTAGGACCAGCTCCCAGTTTCTCATTGAGAAACTTAGGTTAGAATTTGTACCCCTAAATCATAGAGCCTTGGCAGTAATGATGCACATGGAGCGGAGAGAGAGGCAGCTGTGAGTAGGTGGGGTCTCAAAATAGGGGCAATATTGCACCTTATGCTGACTTCGGGAAATACAAAGTCTGGGAACTTACCCAGTGTTTGTTCCTAGAAATCCTTTTAGAATGTCAGATGCCATATGTCTTTTAGATTGCTAAAAATTGCTCTCAGTCTTTACAGAACATAAAAATAAGTAGAGATCTGAGTGTTATTTATGAAGTATTTGCCTAGACCAAGATAATGAATATATTTTATGTTTTCTTCTAGACCCTTCATTGTTTGACTTATTGTATTCAGGTTGGTGATCCATTTTAAGTATTTTTGTTTGTTTGTTTGATAGGGTGTGAGGTAGGATGCCGGTGTATGTGTACAGATTTATCCACTAGATCATGTGTTCGCTCCGTTTAGGTAGGCAATTTATGTCTTTTGATTTGTTTGTCTTTCCTTGCAGCAGCAGCATACTATCTTAATTTGCATTGCTTTGTAGTATTTTTGGAAATCTAGTAATAAATTCTAATTTTAGAATTTATTAATTTTTATAAAATAGTCAGGGTCCATTTTATAGAATAACCTAAGGAAAAATGACATCTTTACAGAATTGCATCTTTCAATTGATGAACATGATGCAACAATCCATTTACCTTGGTTGTCTTTAACTTTTCTGAAGGTGTTTTGTAGTTTAATTGTAGAGGTCTTGAATGCCTTTGTTTAATTTATTTCTAGATACGTGGTGTGTTTTGCTTGGTAATTTTTTTTTTTTTTTTATTTCTAATTTTTGAATTAGTACATACCTTTGCAATATCTTTTTCTTACATCAGCTTTATAGCTAGTGACAGAAATTTAACTCACTCAAGTAATTCTCACCTGGTTTGTAAAACTTTTATTTATTTTTCTTGTCTTATTTAATGAATAGAGGTCATGAAAATGAATATCTTTTCCTTGTTCCTGTATGAAAGAGTATTCAACATCTCACCATTAAATATAATGCTACTTTTAAATTTTCATAGATAACTTTTATCAAATTAAGGGAATTCTGTTTTGTTCCTGGATTGTCAAATGTTTTTAAAAATCACAAATTGATATTGGATTTTATCCAGTGCCTTTTCTGCATGTATCAGGGTCTTTAAAAAATCCTTAATTCTGTTAACAAAATGAACTATACATTCTTTGATTTTCAGATGGTAAAACAACATGTATTACTGGAATCAATTAAATTTGTACATATTGGTCTATTAGCCTTTTCATTTTGCTAGGTTCAACATGCTAGTTTAAAAAATGATGTCTGTATTTATATTGGTGTTTGTTTTATGATTTATCAAAATATATATATGATTGTTTTTCTTGGTTTTTGTTCTTGTTTTTGGTACTGGGGATTGAACCCAGGGAAACTCTACCACTGAGGCACATATCCAGCCCTTTTTATTTTGAGATGGGTCTTGCTAAGTTGCTCAGGCTGGCCTTGAACTTACAATTGTTTCTCAGGCTCCCAAGTTGCTGGAATTACAGGTGTGTGCCTCTGTGCCTGGCTTTCCCCTCTCCCCCCCCCCACACTTTTTTCTTTATTTTATTCTTCTTTAACCTCCTGTTGGCCCAGTATTCTAGTTTTTTGCAAGAAAAAAAATCTTTTGGAATCATGCTCCTGGTTATTGGAAATTATTGGACTTTGCCTCACCCCAGAAAACCAATAAAAGTTTCCACATCTTGCCTTGGTGAAACAGCCTAGTTCCTTAATCAGTGCTGTCCACCTTTGGTGAAGCCCTAATTAAAGGCTTGCCTCTGAGTGACCACAATATTGGACTTGGTCTCATTCCTATTTCCAAGCCAGAAGATCCTGTCTCCAATAACAAAGGTAGCCCCTTGTCTACCCAGGCTGGTATTTAACTGGATAATGCCCAGTTGTCAGACTTCCAAAATTGAAACTGGTGGTAATGAAGGTGGAAAAATTAGTTCATCCCATAGGTCTCTGGTGCTGAAGAAGTTCTAGAGCCCCATCTGTAAGTACTGGCCTCACAATAGCTGTGCTGCCTGAGACTGGGTGACTGGTGGTAGAAATGGACCCCAAGACGGACACCAAGCTGGGTCACATCTGAGTCTCACATCCAGAGGACAGATACAATTTTGGGGAGGCTGGTGATGATATAGGCTGAATGATGTAGTCTATCCCAGGTGGCATGCAGGTATCTGCCTGATGCTGGTTCATGTCTAGAGGCTCCATCTGTGAGCTTGGGCCTACACAGGAGCCTTGGTCTCTAATCTGCTCAGTCTCACAGTTGCAGGCCTGGCACTGAGCTCCAAGACAAAGACCCGTACTAGCTTTCATGTCCTGCTCTCCTGTGGAGGTAGTCCTTCTCCTCCCTCAGCTGCCCACTCTTGGGGGAAGGGTGATGTTGAAGTTCTGTGCCCTGGCAAACACAGTTCCAGCAGCAAGCTCACTCTGGTAGTATTGGAGGTTGTGGGACTGTGCATGGCCATAGGTGTTGGTTTATTTATTTATTTATTTTTGTACTGGGGATTAAACTCAGGAACACTTAACCACTAAGCAAATCTCCAGCCTTTTTAAAAATTATTATTATTTTTTTTTAGTTGTAGATGGACACAATATCATTATTTATTTTTATGTGGTGCTGAGATTCAAACCCAGTGCCTCACGCATGCAAGGCAACTGATCTACCACTGAAATACAACCCCAGTCCCCATCTGTTTTTATTTTATTTTATTTATTTTTTAAATTTAGAGACAGAGTCTTGGCTGAGTTGCTGAGGATGCTTTGAACTCTCAAGCCTCCTGGCTCAGCCTTCTGAATTGCTGGGAAGGGTTTACTGGCTATGCCACCTGCCAACATGGCAGCTGGTTTCACCCAGGCCTGAAAAGGGTTTGAAATCTAAGGCCTAGATTTCTTTCTTTCTCCCTTGCCTAGGTGGAAAGTGTCTCTCCGTGCTGAGCTGCTTAGAGATGGAGGAGTATGCCAACTCTTTTTGTATCCTCTTCAAACATCTTTTCTTTTTGTTCTACTAACAGCAGGCACTATGGTCTCTCAACTGGTTTCCTTAACATCCCCTGCCTTCCTACTTGGGAAGGACCCCAGGCTAGGCAAATGCTCCACTACTGAGCTAAATCCCCAGCCCTTTTTGGAAATTATTTATTTATTTAGGTACTGAGGACTTAACTCAGAGGCACTAGACCAATGAGCCATATCTCCAGGCCTATTTTTGAATTTTACTTAGAGACAGGGTCTCACTGAGTTGCTTAGGGCCTTGCCCTTGCTGAGGCTGGCTTTGAACTCGTGATCCTTCTGCCTAAGCCTCCTGAACTGCTGGGATTTCAGGTGTGCTCCAGGTTGGAAGTTTTTATCTTAAGACAAGGTGTTACTAAGTTGCCCAGACTGGTTTTGACCTTCTGGCCTCAGCCTACCAGGGGTGCATTGGTTTCCTCAGCTCTTGCAAAGGTAGCTGAGAGCGCGCATAGCTCTTCAACTTGGTATCACAGCCAGATGATAGTCGCCATCATGCTCTGCTTTTCCAAATGACCAGATTATTCTTTCCTTACCCTCAGCCCCTACAAAACCTATAATTTCCCGACAGCACCCAAGCAGGCCTCAACCCTGCTGGGATGTACCACCCCAAATCCCAGCCCCCGAGGCTCCGCCCCTTGCTTGGTGTGTCCCGCCTCCCCCATGCAGAAACTGGAAGTGGAAGTAAGCCTCTACACTGGTGCCTTGGGGCCTCCCGGTCAGGTGGTTCCTCAAGGGCGTTTCTCCTTTACAAGGGGTTTCCTCAGTCAGTTTCCCAGCCATCTTGGGTGCATCCCTGGCTTGTAGCCCGGGCTTCCCTCATCTGGGTGGCCCTAGACCCAGGTGGGCTCCTCCCGCTCCTGGCTCCCTGGTGACCACAGCGGGAACTCAGGGCTTCACCTGTGGCTGGGGAGTTTCCCGTAGGCGGGAGCTGGCGAGCCTGAGGTGTTTCCGGTCTCCACCCGAAGCCTCTCTGCAGAGATCGGAAGCCATGCTGGTATCCGGTTTGGACAAGAGCCTGGAGAGGGTGTCCATGGGGTTCCTTCCTTTCTAGCCAGCTAAATTTAGTCTCCCAGTCTCCTGTGTTGAAATAGATTTGTCACTGTGTCATGACCAAGGGGATGAACCATACAATCTTTTTAGTATTAATGCTGTGAATTTTACTAACCAGTGATAAATGTCCTTGTTTGTTTTGTGGTGCTGGAGACCGAGCCCAGGGCCTCACCCATGCGCAGGGATGTTCTACCCCTGAGCTAGGTCCCCAGCATTTTTTTTTTTTTTTTTTTTAGTTATTTTTAATGATTGAGACTGGGTTCTCGGTGGCCAGGCTGGCCTGCAATTTGTGATCTTCCCGCTTTCAGCCTTCCTATTAGCTGGGTTTAGAGGTGTGCAGCACTGTGCTTGGCACTTCAGGAGTTTTTTATTTGGTGCTTTATTTCCCATTGTTAGCACAAAAAGACTAGGCCGGATGCAAACTTCATGATAATTTCAGTGTTTTTTTTTTTTTTTTTTCAATTTAAAATATGTTTTTAGTTGTAGATGAACACACAGTGTCTTTATTTATTTTTATGTGGTGCTGAGGAGTGAACCCAGTGCCTCACACTTGGCGAGGCAAGCACTTGACCACTCAGCGCCGTCCCAGCTCTCATCAGCTTTTTATTCAGGAATGGTATTATACCTCCAGTGGACTCACTGTCCTGGTGGAAATGAGCCACTGGCCAAAGGAGTTGGGCTTAAATAGGTTATACTGAGAGGTGAGCATGTCAGTTTGGGCACTCAGGAATTTTGAGTTTTGGGGTTGAGGGGTCTGTGGCCAGCACCTGGAGAGGATTCATCTTGAAAGAGATTAAAAGCTTCCCAGAGATTATCATTTTAGGTTTGATGAAACACTTTCTCCCCACTTGTGGCCAGCGTCTGAAAAGGATTTATCTTTCAAGAGATGAAGGCTATCAATGTATGGCTTTCTTTTTCACTCCCTTTTCCCAGGCTGCACTATCTTGGGGTTTTTCATTTTCCATAACTAACACCATGACTACATGTGATAGGGTGAGCACAAATATTACCTAAGTAAAATGATATTAAGGAGTAGTTGGTGTGGGTATTAAGAAAAATATCCTTGCCCAAGGCCAATGGCTTGGAAGAGGAGCTTAGAGATAGCACATTTGAATAGTCTTTCCTCTGACACTATAGTGCCCAACAGTGTTCTAGGTTAAAATCTGATAATAGGGAAAAAGAATTCTAATAACAACTAAATTGTAAGGCATGTGTCCAGAAATGTACTCAAGCATTTAGGCTTTGAAGACAAGTAGACTTGTCATACTCTGGCTTAGCAGTTTTGTAATAGTAATCCTCCTGCCTCAGCCTCTCAAGTAACTGGGGTTATAGGTGTGTACCACTGTGTCTGGCTTTCTAGCTGTTTTATGTATTTATTTAAAAGGAATATATGGCATTCAATTGAATGTGAATGTGATTACAAAGGTCTCACAGAAAAGAGGTTCCAGATTTATATAATTGGCTTCACAGATTAGATTTCATTCATCCATCCATTAACAGTTTTCATTCATCAGATATTCAAAGGTTCATATGTTCTAGGCTGTTGAGAGCCACAGCCGAAGGGGCCCCAGCAAACTTCCAGCTGCCAGCTGATGATTGGCTCACAGCGGCCCCAGCAACTTCTAGCAGCCAACTGATTGGCTCCTCTGCGGTGATGCTCATTGGGCTGTTTCCCTGCCCTTTCAGACCACAGAGCTGCTCATTGGGGGACTTTTTTGGCTCTGCCCATGCGACCCAGCCAATGGGCCTCAAGAGCAGGAGGTGTGCGGGAGGTGGAGAGGCTAGTGGGAAGCCAGTTGTGGCAGTTGGGCTCTGAAGGTTTTTCCTGAAGAGCTGTTTTGTTTGGTGTGTGTGGTTCTAAAAATAAAGTTCGTTTCTTTTGACAAGTGGCTCCTGTATTGTGCCCAGCCAGACTGTGGTACTAGGCAGTGAGGAACAACGAATTCTGGTTCTTGCTATCACAATGTGTCTTGTGATGGGTATTGCCTAGCTGTTTTAGAACACAGGTTGGCCATCTGTTTCTTTATTGGATCATATAGGAAATATTTTAGGTTTTGAAGGCCATAGAATTTCTATTGCAAGGAAATTCTCATTTTAGTACAAAAGCACCAAGGGAAAGCTTATAAAGAAATGTTTTGTTGTGTTCCAGTCAAACTGATGTACACAAATAGAGGATTGATTAGTTCATGCCTATTTTGCCAAATCCTGGCCTAGAATAAAGAAAATCTGCTACTTGTGGGCCTGCCATAAAGATGTGCTGTGCAAGCTCATAGG